GTGCTGTTACGCAAGTGCTTAATCTGAATTTAATTTCAATAGTTTTTTGCTTTAGTATGAAGGTTTTCCAAGTTGCAAAATCATACAGCTAAAACTTTTCTTTTTTTCCCCTCCTCACTCAGGCTGCTGAACTCAGTCATGAAGTTAGAGACTGAGACCACCTTACTTTGTTCTTGCAAGACCCAGGTTTAAAGATATCCACGTTACTCTTATGTAACACTTACTAGGTTTGCAGACACTGTGGAATGTACTAAAGTACAATAATTATTTAAATCAATAACTTATTTCACAAACGAGTTTTTAACTTCAGTTGACCTAAGCCGGCAATGTTAAGATGAAGCCTTTTCTGTGCTGGATTTTAAAAGGCAGTTTTAGAACACGAGTTTTCCCTCCCAATTAAGTCTTTTAAATGCAGTGCATACCTTAATTTTGTGTGGTTCAACGAATTCTCCATAAGAATTGAGGTATGTCACAGACTTTTCTCTCAAGGACACTCGATAGCCCCAGTTTAAAGAACCAATGTAGTTCTGAATTGCTTCTACCATGACCTCCCAGTTGTGTTTAACTGAAATAAGACAATAATTTCATATTTAAAGAAATAAAAGTGCAATGAACCCTTAAAAAAACCCTTATTCGCTATATATCATGCGAAAGAAAACATCATTATCAGTAATGAGGATAATTATTAAGGTCTTGTTCTACTATGCTAATATTTACTTGACTTGCTACTATCTGAAATAAGCCCATTTTAGAAGTTCTTTCATTTATTTCAGATAATATAGGGAGCAAAACACAATTAACTTTCAACCCTAAAGGTTTTTATGACTCAAGAAGGAGGATCCCTTCTGATTCACCTAAGAAAACTACTGAATTCTGCTTCTAATTTATTGAGCCCAAAGCACAAGAACGGTCTTGAGCTCAGCATCTCATCTGTACAGTCTTGGGCTGTCCTCCCTGTTCTCACTAACCTTGTTCTTCATACTGCCACCCATATTTCCTTGAATCTTGGAGTGCCTGGCCCAGAAGTGCTGCTTGATGCATTAGCTTCTTAGGAATGCAACCTACATTTACACATGTGCCACCAAGTCCTAAGATGGAAAGAACCACGTTATTGTTTCAAAAAACAGGACATTTATGCTTTTCCTATTATGTGCTTTATATAATCACCCACATATCAGTTGGTGAAGTTTGCTACAGTCACACAAGTAACATGAAATTTCTGTTGCAAGAGACATTTTAAAATACAATGAGCACACTAAGCTTATAAATTTGGATTCAGTTTAAGAAGTGACCAGACTCACTGAACCAAGATGGGTACAGTGTATCTTAAACACAGACCCAGGTTACTTATTCCACAGTGCTTAAGATTTTGGTTAAGTTGGCAAGTAAGCAAGGCAGAAAGCCCAGAGTTCCTAGAGTTTAGTATCAGCTATTATGAGGAATTTGAAACATGCATGTGTTTGACATACTAGCTACAAAAGCACATTCATTCCTCAACTAAATAAAATTTCACCAATGAAGTTCCTTATTCATTCTAAACTTCCAATATCACTAATAAGGTCAGACAGCAGGTGTCTGTAATTATGGAAAGGTGAGACATATATAGGCATGTAGCCACTATTCTAAAGGCAGTTGTCCACAAAATAGAACCAGTGCACACACACCACCCAGACACTATTTGAAAGTGATCAAAACTAGAACATCTGACAAAGAACAGAGTTAGCAATGCACAAAACAGCAAGAACTATCCAGAAAGGCAGCAGGCATGCCAGGAAAACAACTCCTTTTGTTATCTGCGTACCAGAATTACAGGAATTCAGCCTCAATTTCTAAGAACACAAATCCATGATATATAACATCTCAGTATGTATCACTGGTACTGGAGCATCATAAAATACATGATAACAGAAGCTTACCCCATGAGGTTCCAAGAGGTGTTGGAACAACATAATCCAATACCATTACTTTCTTTCCCAAGGCAGCGGCTTCCTACAAAAGATGGAAACGATCAGTCAGCATTACTCAACCAAGAAGGCTTGTCCAGTCATTTATGTTCATGATACACTCAGCACTAATAGAAGACTTTACTGTCTTTATCAGTTAGTTTCATTATCATATATGGCTCTTCTATCTCCTTCACTAGACAAAAATTGAAATCCCTCAGAAACTATTACTTTCTTCCAAACTTTGAATGTCTGCTTATATGTTCAACGCTGCATCCCCATCATCCTATGCTGTTAAAACCCACGACCTGAAAAAGGTAAGAGATGGGCTTATGAGCCTATGATACTCTTCTACCTCACCTAAAGAAATATTTATGCTGTTAGGTTTCCTTTTCCCTTAGGAGGGCAGGACTGACTTGGCATGTTCATGGATGAAAAAAGGTTTCCTTTTCCCTTAGGAGGGCAGGACTGACTTGGCATGTTCATGGATGAAAAAAAAAAAAAAGTGACAGCTGAAAGCACTTCATTTCAGGTGACTGATGATTCTGTATCCTAAAGTGTTAAAAGTCTTCAAGAGTAGCCTTTAAGTTTTCTATATTACTGTTTGGAAGTGTTAAAGTGCCTGTGTATTACACATGAAGAGGTACTTAAAAAACATTTGGTTCCACCCTCAGTCAGAAAACTAAAACCTATTATTAGGATCAAGACCTGAATAGACATTGGCTAGAAACTGGTCCACACAGACCATTATCTCCTGAGTGAGCACCACTGCTGGTTCATTAATTAACAAGTTGAACAATAATACTCATCAAAATATACACTGTTTTATAGTAATATAATTAAAAGATTAGCTTTTGAAGAAGTTTTACATACAACCAGTTCTTTAATGAAATTTTCATGACATACCTTGGAACATGCAAGTCCACCTGAGCCACCACCAATGATAATGAGGTCATATTCATAGGGTTCTGTATCTTTGCTATCCCCAAGAAGTTTCTGCAGTGATCCGTCCTGATAAGCCTGAGAGACAGAGAAAAAAAAATAAATCAAATTAGCACACACATTTTTGAGCAAACAGCAGCTGAGTCACAGTGACTCCTCTGAGCTAGAACACCCAGTCTAATAGGTCACACAAAATTTAACTATGATCAAACAGCAAATTCACTCAGTCTTGTCTACTTCTATCTGATTTTTAAAGTTAAGTTACCTGGTACGTTGCATCACAGCCACCTATGTGAGTTCCATTGACAAATACATTAGGCAC